CTCCCTGCATTTCTGTCATCCCTTCCCTTCAGTGTTTTCTGTTTTGCTAATTGATTATCTAAATGACTATGAGATTACTTGAGGGTATTTTACCTTCTCTTATTCATAGTGCTTGGGGCCTGATTTGAACCATTTAAAGTAATGACTTCTTTTGATTGATTGCGGTAGTATTTTTAACTGAAAATGTATGATGTCTTTTACAGTAGCGTAGAGTGAAAGTCCAGAGCAACTCTGAAAAATGTGTTTATATTTGCTTGGGAGAAGTCTTCATATATAATGTGCTTGATTTTGCTTATGCCAATCTAAATCAGGAATAACTTTGGGTTACTCTCTAGGAAGAGAAGACTGGAAGAGAAAATACAGTGATATTTGTAAAGCAGTTGGGATATAAGGAGACAAATCTGGGTGCAGCAAATGGAGCTCCATTTCATACTGTGCAGTGTCCTTGCCTCTGTTTATGCTTGGTTGGTTTTGGATTCTGGAAGTGCTGTAAACCACACGCTGTGGCTGTTGTTCAGTGACACCTTACTCCTCCAGTAGCCTCACAGTGGGTTATTTGGGGTGTGAGGAGCCAAACAAGATGGGTAAGAATAGTATCTGCCATTACATAAATGCCAACTGCTGCCACTTTGATTGTGTTTATCTCTGTAGTCAGTGTCCCTGGACCATGTTCATCTTCTGTCCCACCAGTTTCCTTTAGACACCGCTCCGCTTATCTTCTGTGATGCAGAGTGGTAGCTTGGGATCAGCTCAGCAGTGTTGGGTAGGTCAGACCCCAGCTTTTTAAGCTGCATCCCAGGGAACTGCTCCCCTGGCTGGCATCCAACGTTGCTGGCACTGATGGTGTCTCACTCAGTGTGGTGGAACAGAACATGGCCTTTCCTGACTGCCTGTCAACCACAGTGTGGCCCTGCTGCCCTCAGAGGCAGGGTTGAAGGTGAGGAGAGACTGTTGACGTCAACACCATGTAAGAAAGGGAAGATAGGGAAATTCTGGCCATAATAAAGGAAGAGAAAAATGTACAGGGAAATTCATGGTCAGAGGGCAGGAGAAAAAAGCAGGGTGGCGGTTCAGAACTCTGATAACGTAGTTTAGACCCTACAAGTACAGGTGTAGGTAGCTTGTTGGGCTTGTGTTTTGCACTAGGTTGTCAGTCTTTTGTCATCGCTGCCGCAAACATAATTCACACTGTGGGTTGCTCTGGAACAAACAGGCAAAGTCACTTGGTGGGGAAGCCTAGATGCCAACTAATTATCCCTGCTCAGGAATAATCCATGCTGCACTGCAGCCTATACACTAGTGCAGATCTGTGCCAGATCTGCTTTTGGTCACCTAAACATGGCCTCGTAGACCATACAACCTTCCGGGCTTGTTTGGAGAAGGATGTATGGTGGATGGGCCCACCTAGATGCAAGAACTCTTGCACCAGTGTGCTGCCATAAAGTGTAGTGTGATGCTATTTCTTCCCATTTTTTTCAGTTCCACTTTCTGAAAAGAGCTAGGCAGTACCACTCTCTGTTCCCGGAAGGGCCTTTGGTGAGATAATGCAGTGGGCATATTTTGATGGCCCAGTAAAGAGGTGCAAAACTGAAAAGACCACCGTACTTCTAAGCAGGTAATGTTAGTCAGTGAACTAGAATGGGCTTAATTTGTACTTGCTTTTTACTGTTTTCTTCCAGCCATGGGTGTAAGGTTGCATTGAGTAGTGGCAGTGCAGAGAATAGGGAAACAGTTTACTCTCAAAGAGAGTTGCCCAGTCAAGGAAACTTGTGGATAAACAAAAAATTTTTGTCTCCTAGTACAAACATGCAACTAACCAAAACAGCAAATCTGATAGACTTAATCTGCTCTGGCAGCAGGAGGTACATGGAGCCAAACACACTTTGTGAGTTACTTTTATTTCACCCATAACTCGTATCAGAGCCTGGAAGAACTGGTTGCATGGTTGCTGTGAATGGGCTTGTTTGGCTATTTTTTTTTTTGTTTGGTTGGTGGGTTTTTGTAAATCTCTGATTGTTGCAGCCTTTGGGAAAGGATATTCTTGTTTGGGCTGACATGAGGAAATTTGCAGGACAGTGGAGGAGAATTTTGGTAGTTAAGTGTTTGTTCTCTGAGTAGTGAATCTGGAAATAAGTGACCAGAGTCTCAAGTTGAAAGTGTTACTCATTGGTGAGTAATGGTTCATATGTTTCCTGGTGGATATGTTTCCAGATCTTTCAGAACAGCTCCTTATGATGACACTGCTTTAGCCCATCTAAACAGATAAGTCAGTAATGTCTTGCAATTTTCACTTGAGATGATAGGTGTGAGTTTGGACAGTTTGGTGGAGCAGTGGCAGAGAACTGAGAATGATTTCTGGAAAGGGCAAGGATATTGCACTGTGAGCTTTGTAAGGTATAATTATTAGTGAAGTTAGCAAAAAGTTAGTTTGCAGGATCACTCCTATTCTCATCGATAAAAATACTGCTTAATTTATGCGCAACAATACTTCTGCTCCTCCCCATAAAGAAAAAACATCATCTAAAGAAGAAACACCCATATAATAAAAGGAGCAGAATAACAGCTTGTTTCAGTTTTCTCCTCTTGCATGTTATGCCAGTTCTGATATGGACATATTCATTCATATTAAATTGTAACATCAGTGTCACTGTTTTAAAATACCTTTTTTTCTAATGTAACAATCAAACTTACTTCAAAATGTATTCCAGCTAATGAAGGATAGTAGTGTGTTTTCTTCTGCCTTACTCCATATTGGATTTTTCATTTTATTCCTATCTCTCAAATATCCCTATCCCTGAATTTAGTGAGAGAAATAGGGGTTTAGCATACTAGTTGCAGTTCATCTGTGCTAGTGCCTTCCTACTTAAGCTACCCTGCTTAAGTCTCTGCTGTTATATTTGTTCCCTAGGTTGTAACCTGGTAGCAACAGAGGGGTGAACAGTGTTGCATCTACTGATTTTTGCTTCAGATGGTTGGAGAAAAAGCAGTATAAAAAAAAATTGAGCTCATGGGAAATTACAGGCTTTCAGAGGAATAGGGAAAGTTTAGCCTGTATGTGATGGGCAGTTTGACTTGCTAAATGATTGATTGTGCAGGACAGAAGGAAGATGCCGTGGCTGTGCCTGTCTGTGTCAAGCACTCCTTTTGAAAGCAATGTATGGTATTCTTATTGCAACCTTTTTTGACCCAGAGGTTGGCAGAGCAGAAGAGGTACATGCCGGCTGAAAGCTGTGCAGCAATTTTCAAGTAGATTCTTAGTCTAATAGTAACTTTCAACAAATCTCTTTGTATTTTTTTTTCCTAAATTAGGGGTAGAAATATAGACTCCTGTGCATGTTTAACAGTTCCTCGCTGCTTTTTTTAAATGACAAAGCTATCTGTGACCTGGTGAATGAGGTCTGGGATGCAGTATGCACCACCAGTTCAAGTGGAGCTACAAGAATAGCCACTTGATTTGTTGGTTTTGGGTTTGGTTTTTTTTCCCTTCACCACTGCCACTTTTAGAGAAGGATTTTTCCTTTTTCATCCTCAAATTCGATGTATTGGAAGTTTCCATGCTTTCAGTGATTTCTAAGTTATAGGTCCGTCCTCTGAAGGTACATTCTGAATCAAGGCTCTTTTGTAAGGAAACACCAACTTTGGTTTTAGTTTCTTCTAGATCTGGCACGGGATGTGTCTTGTATCAGGATGCGAAATGACACCTCTTCTGAAGACAGTCAGGAAGCCCTTACTAAAACTAAAGCAAGAATAAATAGTGCTACATCCTCCTCCTTAGCCTCCCCTTTCCCATTCTGGGCTGGTTGCCATTTCAGGGACAAGAAGATCCATTAAAGAGACAGAGCAGTGCTGTTAGGGCAGTGAAGGAGGTCCTGGCAACATCCCTGGTAGCCCTGTGGTTGCTTCTGCAGTCTCCCTGCAAGAGGAGCGGGTTGGCAACACCTGCTGCTTTAACCTCAGTACTTGGAATATCTTCTGAAGTGGTTTTGTCAGCACCTGTCCCACTCCTCAGCTGCTGAGGCTCTCCTGTCTTCAGTATCCTTGGGCTCCTCCTTTAATAGAAGAGTGAGCTTGATGGAAGAATCCCTTGGTTTTCTCTAGCAGTATTTTCAAATAGAGATACGCTCTGCTTGAGACATGCAGATACACCTGCCTTTGCTAATGGTTGTGAAGGAAAATCTGAAAATTACGCCCTTAATGTGTTCAGGTGTGGTGAATCTCCTTGGGAGGTAGTACTGGAGGTTGCTTTTGTAGGCTCAGTGAAATTTCCTATAAATAAGTTCTGGTTTGAAGGAGTTGTCTATAAGGAAAGAAAATCAAAATTGCTCACTAAAACCAGCCAAGAGTTTGTTCGGTCAGCTGCCTTTTAGTTCCCTGGGCCAGCATTTGATTACTGTTGACTATTTAGATTTAAAGAGTTACATTTTCTTAAATGTACATGTAATTTTTCAGTACTAACGCTCTGATGCTTTTGTGGAGAACTGCTTTCTGATTGATTTCATTTTTATGTTCAGTGGAAATAGGAAAAGCTTTAATTCAACTTTGTAGCTTGTTATTTCTTAAATGTGGTTGCACTGTCAACTCTCCTGCAGGTATCTCAGGGTAGTCTAGCTCTTTATCTATTAACATACTCTACAAAATAACTGTACAGCAAATTGCAGTCAGCCCATCTTCTGTGACAGAAATGTATTTGGCGAAGAGCTCTTGTGTGGCAGAGGAGACAGCTGTCATTGCTGGCTGCCTCAGTATTGAGACTGAATAAGTCTGCTACGTAAAAGTACAGGCATTGGAAATGCAGTGGTGGAATTGGCAGCTACCTCTAGCAGGAAGTTTTTAAGTCTGTGTGCTAGAATATCATGAACTAAAATACCTTACTCTGTAAACTGTCAACACTGTCCCTTTGTCCAGAATATACAGCTTTGTTCTTTACATATTTCCTTCAAATGAGTACTTTCTGTGTCCAAAACAATTTTTTACAAAGGTTTCTCCGACTGCTGTTTCAGACTACGCTGGCACACATCATAGCCAACAGCAGCAAAAAGAACGGCACGAGGTTTGTGACACTGTCGGCCACAAGTGCCAAGACAAATGATGTTCGAGATGTCATCAGCCAAGCCCAGAATGAAAAAAGACTCTTCAAGAGAAAAACCATCCTCTTTATTGACGAGATCCATCGCTTCAATAAATCTCAGCAGGTATTGAGGCTTTGAAAAAAGGCTTTGTCAACACTTCTGTAAAATTCCCCACTTTGCCTTAAGATGATACCTTACTTTGGGCTTTCAGTTTATTATTCAGTTAATATTTTTAGCAGGTGATTTAGGGAGCAACACGTAAAAATTAATTTCCACAACTAACTTCCAATCAATGTTTAATTATTGTGATTCAAAGATTTAAATAGAAGGCAGAACTATACTTATAGCTGACTGACATGCTGGGCTTTATGTGACATTTTTCTGAAATTTTATTTCTGCAAAGTCATGCTGTTAGTGTTTGCTGCATGTATCTTCATTTCAGCCTCCACCCTGGCAGTACCATTCTGCATTGCCTTTAAAAAGGTCTAGAATGTGAATGTGCCTAGGGTGTTTGTGTGTTTTAATGTTGTCCCCTCTTCTCTGCGAGGAAAGTGGCAAAAAAAAAAAAAAGGCATAGCATGGTACTTTGGGATAACACATTGCTGCAGCCATCATTTGGGTGTTTTTTTCTTTTTCCTTTCCGAGGTATAAGTCCTCTTTAGTCATACCATGGAAAGCTTGAATTCTGTACTACAAGTTACAGTTGTTACATTGAACCTTACTGCAATCTTCCTATAGTTTTCTGAGCTGTCCTGTAGAGTTATGTAGGGAATTGTAGCCCTAAAGGTTGATTCAAAGAGTATTTAGAAATAGGCTCACTATTTGTTATATTTGATAAGGCAATTTAATGATATCTTATGTTTGCCAAGCAATAAACGAAACTCACATAAATAAACTGAAAATGTGGAAGTTTTTGATACTTTCTCTTTTCAGATGGTAGGGTCATTCTCAGTTCAAGCATGAGTTATTAAGGTGAACAGCCTGTAGCATGCTGTCTGCGTGAAATTAAATCATTTAGATAGCTTAGCAGATGAGCTGCCTTGTCGGTGTTATTATTTGTCACATCAACAGGGAAACCCAAAGACTAACAAGACACGAAAAATGTAGCCTACTCACATGGGATGTTTCAGGTTGTCGTTGATCGAGATCAACTTTTTCTGCTTCCCTCCCATCCTTAGGACACTTTCCTTCCTCACGTCGAGTGTGGGACGGTGACCCTGATAGGAGCGACCACAGAAAACCCTTCCTTCCAAGTCAACGCCGCTCTTCTGAGCCGATGCCGGGTGATCGTCCTGGAGAAGCTCTCAGTTGAAGCGATGGAGGCGATTCTGATGCGGGCTGTCAGGTCCTTAGGGGTCCAGGTTTTGGGCCAGGGCGACCAGCACGGCAGCTCTGCAACTGGCAGCAGCAGTGAGAGCTCAGAGTGAGTACTTTATGGGCTGCAGGGTGTTAACGCACACAGCCCGTGGAATTGACTGCCTGCCAGGGAGAGAATGGAGCAGCTGTGGGGTGGGAAGAGAAACCCTAGCCACTTCTGATAGTAAAGAAAAGAAGCGGCAGCATATGGCAGGAGCGGGGGGGTGACAGGAGAGAGATAATTCAAAGCACTGGCACTCTCCATCCAAAACATAATCTCACCATCTGGATCAGGAGAAGGAGTTTTGTACTTGGATCTGTAGCTCCTGACTCGCCCTCCCTGGATATTTAAATCCATTCTGCTGCTGAGCATTTGCTGTGGAAGCCTGTAACTGGGTCTTCGTCATGTCCTAATGTGTGTTGCTTCTTGCCACTAGTTGTAAAAGCATCATGTTACCGTTAAGTGGTGGATGGGCCATCCCCTCTTAAATTAATTTGGAAGAGCACTACAAAAGTTTGTTGGTTTCTGATAATTTTTTTAAATAAAATCAGGGAGTATACTACTGTTCTTTAGTTGCAGGACAAGTACTGTGGTATGTTCAAGGGTATGCTGTGGGAAGAGGGCGCTGTTGCTGCGAGTTGTTAATGGATTGTTTTAAGATAGACACTGATTTTCTCTGCTTCTTGTTGTCCAAGCTGGATAGAGTCACATTAAACGTTTGAGAGAGTTTTGGGAAAAATTATGTCCAGATTTGTCCATGAGGGAAGTCATCTGCCTTCTGAAACGGCTAGCTGGCTGTCAAGAATAATGCTTGATACTGCACTACTTCCATGCAAGTTATTACAGTTCCTTCGTGTTGATGCTTGTCTGTACTGCTCGGAATTTACGCTGTATTGACATGGTGGTAATTGGGCAGGCACTCTGTGTGAAATAAACGAGAGGGAATCCACTTTGTCCTTCAGCTTCATGACTGAATGTAAGCACTAACAGTTTCTAACCTGAGCACTGAGATCAGGACAGGGAAGGAAAGCTACACCCTTTTCTTTTTAGGGTACCTTGCCTCATGGTTTACTCATTTGTAGCTTTTACATATTGTAGTAATGTGAATTTTAGAAGAGAGGGCAGTACTGCATGTCAGCCTTAATGTAATGGCACAGCTGTGGTTGTGGCAACACCCTGACAGGTTTGAAGACTTTCCTTTCTGTACAGGATTAAAGTACAAGGCATAGTTTCAGCTGCAGTTGTTTGGGTTTGGGTTTCGCTAGACTCTCTGGATCTGTAGCCTTCCGTTAGCTATGGATGATTTAAACAGCATGGTGTGGTGCTTAATCAAACTGAAAGAAGTCTGGCAGGCAGGCTGTCAGACTAGCACAGTTTCAGAAATCTATCCATGGAGAGAGAGGGCCCCACTCCAATGGCTGACATGGGAGCCAAGCATATAAAAATAAAAATGGGGTTCAGAATTTAGGAGCATTTGTTGCAGTTGTGTGTTAAGTCTTTCTTGTCTTTCCTGCTGCTATCTGATTCTGATTTGTAGTTGATACGTACTGTTGCTGATGAATTTGGCTTTTTATAAGCCATCCGGTCCCTTAGACAGGAACTGGAAGTGTGGTTCCAGTTTTGATCTCCTTGTTAATTAATTCCTTCTTCTTGCTTCACTGTCCATACTATTTCTGCTCCTTCATTTCCTCTCCATCTACTACTTTGCAGGAGTAGCTGTGTCTTATCTTTTACTTCTTCACCTCCCTGCTTCTATGAAGTGCGCCTGTTACTAGGTGCAGGCAGGTAAGGGTGTTCATGCTATCCTGAGGAATAAATGAAAGTACCCAGTTACGGCTGAATTGGTTGTTCACTGTGCTCACCTTTGTTCCAGAGCTGGAAAAGGAGCTGTAAGGCAGCGTATCCCCAAATATGAGGGAATTAAAAATGCTGCAGAGATCTAGCCAAAAGGCACGAGACATGTGTACATTTAATTTTGGATTTAATTTTCCAAACCATGGAAGTGTGGTATGAAGTCCTGCCTGTGCTGCTTGGCTTCAGTTTGTCAGATGGTCTTGGTGTGGCGTCACTTGTCTGACATGATGGCTGACCTAGATGTGATTTGAAGAAAGGGGTGATTCCTTGTGGTCTCTTTTATTACACTGAGGAGTGAGGTAGGGATGAATCTTCCTTAGTGCTCCTTCCTTCCTTCCTCTGTGCTCAACAAGAATGCAGCCATCACTAAATGATTCAATAGGTTTCATTGTCTCTGCACTCCATGTACATGCAGCACTTATCAAAAAGAAAGTGTGTCATACCCAAATCTGTTTCCTTACATTTTCTTGATGTCTTTTTCTTTTCTTTCTTCCACCATTGCTGCAGGTTTCTGAGAAGGTCAGGTCACTTGGCTTCTGTTTCATCCTGCTGTGGCCTTTTCTTGCTGTAAAGCTGAAATAGAACTAGCAGAAGGTGCTATCTACTTTGGTATCTTTGTTTTGTCATCACACTCATAAAACTTGTTTGGCAGTTTTTGTTGGTTACTGAATTTATTTAGGATAGCGTGTGCTTTGTGTTAGATTTTAATCAACTTTACTGCCATCAAATTGTGCCTCTTAAAGCCTGCAGTAAATTAAAATGGAAGATGGGGAAATAAGAAATAAAGAAATATATTCATGAAGAAGAAAAGTAAGAAGTCAGTGTTAAAGATGCTTTATATTGCTGAAACTTTGCTTGTGCTTTCTGCAGTTTACACTGTCTCAGTAATAGCACAAGCTGTTCCAGGTGTACACTGATACACTACATTTGTACTCTGTCAGTGTTAGAAGAAATAAAATTATTCTTTTTTTGGCTTTTTAGTTTTTTTTTTGGCAAGCCCAGGCATTGTGCAGTGCAGCTTGCTAGTGGCTGTATGAGAAGTACTGACACAATTTGAATTCACTGGTTTGTAAATCACAGTGTTGAAGATGGGCTTCCTTTGGGTCTTCAGTGTTCAATACCATTTGGGAAATTATTCCCTGTTTGGAACATCCATCCAGTTTCCTTGCAGGAAAAAGAGTTGCTGAAGTGGGAATTGGCACTCAAAGTCAATGCTGTAAGGCAGTGAGCGATGCACATCATACTGCAGTATTTCAGATGAAGATCTGTATTTGCCTGTAAAAGTGCTGCAATCTCTCAAGTAGTGAGAATGATTGCACTGAGAAAGTACTGATTTATATGTGAAGCATATAAAGAAGCAACGAGTGCTTTATCTCATGTTCTGCTCAATTATTTTTAAATCTTTCAACATACAGATTCTCCTTGCTTGGACTTCCTTATATTTACTCTCTGATTGTGCTTGCACCCGCTTGTCATTGGATCGAGCACTGCAGTGTTGTACAGGTTTTATGGGTAGATCATAATATGTTTTAATTTTTGTTCTTGGCACAAACTGTCTTGAGGGTATGGAGATAAGGAGGAGTTGGAAGAAGGATTTATTTATCCTGTAGTGGTTGTTTTCAATTCCTTAAACTAGTATATCACCTTCAGTGAGTGATGGATCTCGGGGTGTCCCTTTTGGCTTGTTTATGTGTTTGTCTCCAAGTATCATCGGTCACAAGGTACCAACGTTGAGCACTGGCATCCAGTAGGTGTTTAGTCTTAATTTTGGAAAGTGAAAAAATACAAGATTGCCCATCTGCAAAAGGATCAGGAGCTTGAGGAGAGGTCAGAAAGCGTGGGATACTGCCTTGCAATTCTAGGGTGCACAAAAGTTGGACAAAGTGGAAGTATGTAGGGTATTAAAGCTTCTGAAGACAAGGTGGGCTTGAAAATGTAAAATGCAGCACGTGTCTTTTGGAAGCCAAGATATTGAAATACTTGTCATCCTGATTTTGAAATTAGGCTTCTGCTTAGTGAAGTTAAGTCATTAAAAAATTTTAACTCCTCAGGAAAAAAACCACTGAATTCAGTTATTCTGAATATAAAGTGTTATTATTTTGTAATACTGAGTGTGAATGGAACTGAGGCTATGGAACAGGGAAGCATTATGTTATTTCCTGTCAGTAATTCTCACCAATATGGTACACAAACAGCTTGTATTTTGAAATTCTCTCTGTCTATTCTCATTCTTTATCATGTCCTGTATGTCATACTATTGTAGACATGGACTGGATCAGCCTAATACATTATTTGGAGGAAAATTTTCATTATCAATGTGCTGTAACTTGGATTTCACCATGGAAGTGGACAAGACTTTTGCCTGTAACCAGATTTTCCGAACTTCATTTTTTCCCCTGCATATTTGTTTCAATTACAGTAATATTAATTGCTTGTGTTGAGTCAGCAGAGGAGTTAGAGTCCCATAGTGAAACTGAAGAGACAGGAATACAACTCAGCTTTCTTGCCCAACTTCTAATTAGCCACTAAATGGCAAAAGTGTTCTGAGGCCTCAAATTTGTTTGGGACAGACTGCTCTTAGCTTCTTGCAAGCGTAATAACCTGCCTTTTAGTGCTCTCTACGCTTCCCCTCCACTTGCAGTTGCTGAGTGCAGTTGTGGCTTAGGAGGCCTCAAGTGCATGGTGGTGTTCTCTGCAAACTGCAGACAAAGAGCTTAGTCCTTGCAGATAAAACTTCTTCAGTGTGCCCTGCTGGGGCATGAGTTACTTGCCAGAGTAAGTCCCTGTGCTGTTATATTCTTCTGCTTCCCTGTTCAAGCATAAAGAAGGTGTTTGAAACACCTTGGAGAAAGTGCAGTTATTTTGGAGTGCCACTGTGTGCACATTATTATTTTTTCTAGCTTTATCAAATAGATGAGAAACAAGGAGATGGAAATAAAAATATGACAAGATGCACATGTGATTACAGGTAGATCTATTTTTCCTAT